ATTTTAGGTTGTATCAACAGGTGTGTTGTAAGCAAAACTCGTGAAGTCATTCTGCCGCTCTACTCTGCACTAGTTAGGCCTCAGCTGGAGTACTGTGTCCCGTTCTGGGCGCCACATTTCAAGAAAGATGGAGAAATTGGAAAGGGTACAGAGAAGAGCGACAAGAATGATTAAAGGTCTAGAGAACATGCCCTATGAAGCCAGGCTTCATGAACTGGGCTTGTTTAGTTTGGAGAAAAGAAGATTAAGGGGGGACATGATAGCGGTTTTCAAATATCTAAAAGGGTGTCACAAGGAGGAAGGAGAAAATTCGTTCCTCTTGGTTTCTGAGGACAGGACAAGGAGTAATGGGCTTAAAGTGCAGCAGGGGAGGTTTAGATTGGACATTAGGAAAAAATTCCTAACTGTCAGGGTGGTCAAATATTGGAATAAATTGCCAAGGGAGGTGGTGGAATCTCCCTCTCTGGAGATATTTAAGAACAGGTTAGATAGACATCTGTCAGGGATGGTGTAGGTGGAGCTTGGTCCTGCCTTGAGGGCGGGGGGCTGGACTCGATGACCTCTTGAGGTCCCTTCCAGTCCTATTATTCTATGATTCTATGATTCTCCAAATCACACAGAGTGATAGGGAGCAGATGCTGACTGCATGTGGCCAGAAACTTGGGCCTTAAGCTTCAATGCTTTGTGTTGCAACAATGCCAGACCACTTACTGCTTGTTTGGCATGGAAAGGATGTCCTACTGTGGAGAACGGAATAAGGCAGGCATCCCCACAAACCTTGAGAGAAGGATTAAAGAGTTCTTCTTCTATGAGAACTTTACATAGATGTGCAGGGAGGATTCCCACTCGGTCTTCAGAAATTTTAACAAGTTTTTCCCACTGTGTAGGCACACTGGCCACCACAGATCACACCTGATTGCCTGAACCCACTTTTCACAAGATAAAAAACATATACTCACCAGAAGTGCCCTTCCCAGGATTAGTGCCCAACTGTGAGACGGGAATAGTCTCCAAAGTTATAAAAAGTTCGTCTCTGTGACCTTGGTTGCCATGCTTGCTGGCTGGCCATTTGCCTCCTCTATGCCACTGCCTGAGTGTCTTAGAGGAATCCCTGGACTGGCTAGTGAAGCCGTTCAGGTTCCCCACAAGAATCACATGCAGCTGCTCATAGAAGCTGTATGATTGTGGCAATGCTCCAGATAGTCATATCAAAAGACAAAGGATGCCAACGGCCTCTCTCAGCTCCTTTATTTTCATGCGGCACTGCAGGGCACCCCGACCACGTCCTCTCTCCTCCTTGCCCCTTGCAATTTTGGCATATCTGTGGGGGTTTTTTTCTGGTTTGTAGTTCTGAGACAATAGATTCATCTCCCCACAAAGCTATGAGGTTCATTCTAGTGCTTGTCTGTGACCATGAGAACTCATGGAGTTCGTGGTCAGGCATGCTGCTGCCTGCTCTGAGGTCTGCTCACCGCACTGGCCACAAGGGAAATGAAATTCACATTTTCTTAGGGTTTTTCCTGTTCACTTGAAGAGCAGTAGAGTGGCCAGTCCAGTCATCATGGGACACCTCCCAGAGGCAAACACCACAAACTTTCACAGCGCTGCATCTGCACTACCAAAAAGTCGACCATGCGAATTGAATTTAGCAGTTACTCCTCATGAAAGCAGGAGTACCGTCTGCCCTTTAAGTCGATGGAATGAGTTTGACAGCATCAACTCATTGTTTAGAAAGTCGTCCTAATGTGGCTAAGTTCAACCTAAACTCCCAGCACAGACCAGCCCTATAAACTGATCAACATGTTTTCCCACATATCAAAACAAAGGAGCTACTTTGCCAACCAGGCAGTGACTAAGGGATACTCATCTCTATCAGATTAAGATTTAATCTGACTGACTAAATAACAAGTTTGTAAAACATACAGTCTGAGTTGGGACTGTCTCATAGTAGTAAGCAAGATAAGCTACAGAAAAGGAATGCAAGATACTAAGAACTGTATCATTCCCGGGAGCTATCATATCCAGGATTTAAATCTCGAGAACTTCAGAATGTGTTCTTATTTTTTTAAATGTCAGAGTCATGTCTTGAAGTGTACACATCCTCCTACTACATAAACAGAAGTTAAACACACATCATGGCAAAAAGTCTGTGGCATTGCTACAGATAGTTTAGAGTATGGGATGACCAGAAATATCTTTTGTAGTTATTCTTACTAGAAGAATGTTCATCTAATTTCATGCATCAGCATATAGGATATTGGCATGGGGGTCAAGAAGGAATCTCCCTCTCTCTCAACCTCTGTATAGGATGCATTTGGTTAAGTGTTTGCAAAACAACTATTGCTGAAGGCAAGATGCCAACTTCATGGTTCAATGTTTGATCAAGAACAGCAAAATAACATAAAAGGTAGATAACCATTCTTTTCTAACTATTGTTCTTCAAAACGTGTTGCTCATGTCCATTCCAATGTGTGTATGCATGTTGTATACATGGCTGAAAGATTTTCCCCTAGTGGTGACTTTTGGGTTGGCTGTGGCACCTGTGGGGACACCTCCCTGGTGTCATATATATACACCCCTACTGACCTGACTCCCACTCAGTTCCTTCTTGCCAGAATAGTCCGACAGAGGGGAGGGTCTGGAATGGACGAGCAACACATCTCACAAAACAACAGCTGCAAAAGGTAAGTAACCATTCTGTCAAGTGATTGCTCATGTACATTCCAATATGTGCCTTACCAGCAGTTTGTACATAGGAGGGGTCAGACCTCAACTCATTGTGGAGTGTGGCAGAGCTGTCCTGAAGGCTGCATCATCCTGTACTTGCTGGGTGAAGGCGTAATGAGTCATGGAAGTGTGCACAAGGAGTATATAGCCACCCTACAGATGTCCTGAATAGAAATCTGAGCTATAAAGGCCACTGAAGAGGCCTGTGCCCTAGTGTAGTGTGCTGTGAGGTTCGAGGCTGGCATCTTGGTTAGGTCATAGCAAAGTCTGATATACAGTGATCCAGGATGATAGGAGTTCATATATTCCGCAATAGAAACAAAGATGAAGAATTTGTGTCAACTTGAGAAATGGTTTGGTGTGCTCAATACAAAAGGCAAGGCCACATCTTACGTTCAGGATCGTGCCCTTACCCTGTCTGTGGCTTGAAGCTTTGGGAAGAAAACAGGGAGAAAGATGTCTCAATTGATGTGAAAGGGAGACATCACCTTTGGCAGAAAGGTGGGATTGGGGCACAGCTGTACTTTATAAAAAAACACAACAACATAGGAGGACTTGGAGGTAAAGGCCCGCAATTCTGATACTACACAAGAAGTCAGAAGCCCCAATGACCATCACAGGTGGAAAGAAGGAACTGAGTTGGAGTCAGGTCGGCAGGGACAGAGATACCACGCAAGGGAGACGTCTACACAGGGGGTACCACAGCTGACCCAACAGATAAAGCTAAGGGAAAATCTTCCAATGATCAGCCTGTGGCATGTGTGCGCGCGCACACACGCATGCGCACACACACATGCACGCGCACACACACACGCAATCACTCAAAGAACACTCTGCTCTTCTAGCATTCTTATTCTTTCATCTTCTCTAGCTATCTTCATATGGCATCTTACCTCAAGCCCAGAGGATGACTCCTTTAACTGTTCTATAGGCTGCTGCACAAGTCACCTGGGGGGGGAGGAAGGGGCTCTGTGGAGTGACAAGGCATGCTGCTTAGAAAGGTATCTGCTGGGTAGCCTGGAGGACTAACGCCTAGCTTTTATAAGCCTGGGGAATAAAAGTGGGAGTCCAGAGTTCAGTTTAGGCCTCCGATTTTGATGTGAAACTATTGTTTGAATAATTATCCTCCCACCAATCCCTCCAAACAATCTGTAGATCTGAGAAGAACAGAATATGACAAAATTTTCCTACAGATTTCGTTTAGCCTTCCCAGTAAACAACAGGTTAGAAAACATCTTTAATAAATTCTCAACATACTGCAACTTGTAAAAAGCACTCCTCGTCCAACAAGATGCTGGAAAGCACAAAAATGTCCGTGGCTATTGTGCCCATCTTAACAATAAACCTAATCATGAAGAGACTTACACTAATGACTCAGTTCAGAACCGCCAGGAATGTTCATTATAGTTCCTAGCCCTCAGACTTTTTCAATTAATCCCTTAACATTTGGAGTCAGAATGTCCTAATTATGCACAAAATTCAAAGTATGAAAATGCTAATGAAATGAGCTCTGTACTTGCTAAATCTTAAGGGGAAACCAATCACTTAGAAATAACCTGGCCTATATAATTTTGGTTCATAGTATTTTGTAATGAAATGAATTTACTCTTTAAATAAATTACTTCATATTTTTATAATCTTTATGTTTTGTACTTACAGAAGAAGATCCTTGTCTGAAGTGGTTTTCCATTACATAGGACCCTGCAGTTCTACTAATCCAGCATTTAGTGAAGCATTGCTATTGTTCTGACATAACCAGATTGTGCTATAATGTATTATACAATGGTAACATTGACTAAACAAAATGCACATTGATTTTTTTTTTTTAAGTCTGAAATGGGAGTAAGCTGCACCCTGGAAAAATCACTTTTTACAACTGTGCAGCAGCACCCTCACTATTCTACATATTTCTCCTCACTTTTAATATTGTAATAGCAATCCTCAATACATTGGATGCATTTAACAAGTCTATAAAAATGCATTAAATAGCATTTAAAACATTAAATCTTTCACTTGGGCTGCACCAAACATGTCTGCTGCCAACAAGTCTTGTACTTTGATAATCAGCGTCCCCTATAAAGGAGTTAAAACACTGGTTGAACACAAGATTTATAAGAACTAGAGGCTTAAACAGCTATATCAGGCTTAAAAACAGCTACTTAAAAAGTCACTGCACCCCCACTTCTACTAGTATCTTATATTAAGCTGCTTTCAGCCACCTTTAAAATTCATGTTTTAATAAGTACAACAAATAGGTAGGTGTTGAGGCTTACCTTGAAAACGGGTATATCCTAAAGTCTCTCCCCGGAAACTCTTATAATACTTTACGCCATAAACTATAATTGGTCTTCTAAGAATATGTGCAAGTACAAAAATGTGTGTCTGCTCCAAACTTGCTCCAGGCTATAACAAAAAGAAAAACAGACAATTCTTTCAACAGAACTTTGATCAGTTTAACATGATTGACAAAGCAACTTCTGCATGAACTCCATAATACCAGATTTCCATCCAACTAAAATTCTGCTGAAGTCATGGCTGTCATTTAGATTTCCATAACAAAGCATTTTTCTGGCATGTTTCACTTGCAGAAAATTTAGCTACCTAAAGTTAGAATACTCACGTGAGTATTCTATGCATTTTTTAACATTGACAATACCTCAATATTACAGGGAGAATGCACCTGTGAATTGAGGTTGAACAAGCATTCTTTTTTAATAGGCCATTTTTGGTTGACTGGTTTTACCTTAAAAAGAGCCTCTATCGTATTAAAAAAAAAATTGTGTTCATGTGTGCACTTTTATGCAAAGCCTGAGCCTAAAAAGTTGAGACCTATAAGTGAAAAAAAATACACTTTTCAATAATGAAAAAAATAAAAATAATTTTAGCTAACAAATCAAAATATGGTCAAAATTCACAGGCTCTAGATTGTAGATATGCTATTTAGAGAGTCTGAAAATATAGTTTATTTTACCACAGTTATAAAGATTTTTAAAAAATGCACTTGGCACATGCACACTATACTACAAAATGCAAAACTCAGTTTGTCAGCATTCAAGTGATTCAAGCTAACAAAAAGTTTGTAGACATGTTCATTCTCTCCGATTATTTAACGTGTTTAGGGAAGGAGACAGGGCATTAAACAGAACAGAAACTGGTGTACCATCTCTTATAAGCGTAAGAGCATAAGAAAAATAACCTTTCACCAAAACTGTTAATTTTACTAGTAAACTCAGAAATTATGTTGCACTTTATTCTTGGAGGAGCACTTACCCATAATGCTTCGTAAAAATCTGGTGTTAAAAAAAGTTGATATTTTCTGTAAAACAAACACACACACACACACACACACACACACACAGCCAGAGCAAGAACAATGCAAGTTTAACAAATTAATCTTCAGGACTATACAACCCATCCCAGTTTAAGATTTAAAAAAAAAAAACAGTCCTTACCTGACTAGCTAGAGAGAGTATAAATGCCCAGTCTTCCTGCCACTGTTCTTCTCGCAGTGAGAAATGTAAACCAAAGCTTTGGGAATACCATGACTCCTC